AAGAGGGAGAGAACGAGGACAATTCTCAAACCCTACCCAGTACTCGACCCACAATCATTGGAAGAAAGAGGAAAAGAGAGGTTGCCACTGAGGAAGAGGAAGAGAACGAGGATAATGAGGAGGGGGAGGACGATAATGAGGATAAGGGAGTGGAAGAAGATGAGACGGAGATAGGCGCAGGAGTAGGTGCGGAAGTGAATGAGGGCCAGGAATGCTGGAAGAAGGGGGACAACTGCCAGTATCAAAGACAAGAGCTCACCGATGAGTCACAGAGGGAGATGTCACCGATTGAACTGCAGAGATCAACTGATCTGGACGAGAATGATGAGGATGGACCAGAGTTTGAAGTTGAGTATGTTGTAGATGATCGGCTGCAGGTTAGTGTGGAGCAAATAATGATGTGCAAGCTAATGCATAGTTTGATAGGACGGGGGTAGTGGAATATCTGGTCAAGTGGAAGCATTATAGTGATGGAAGGAACTCATGGGTCCCAGAATCTTCTAGGTACGTCTCAAATCATCTGCTTTAGTTTCAGACAATTTATATTCTATCAGTAATTGTCAACAAGCCATTGACGAATATTGGGCTGCACCTGCAGAATCCAACCAGGACCAGCATTGCGGACTCAAGCTGGCTAAAACGGGGCAGCAATACAAAGATTTATGTGCTTTTATTGCTGAGGAAAGTATGGATCGCCAGGCATCAGCTGTGGAGGATGCCATCAAACGTCTTTCCATTGGCCAGTCGCTTCAACCCATTAATAGTCAAAATGCGTTAGAGGCCATCCAAGCTCAATTCCTCAAGGATGATAAATCGGACACTATAAGCGGGAGGGAATGGAATGCCGTCAATGCTCCTACCATGATTGACCAAATCACACACGCAGCTAAAATCCTTCCCACTCTAGTAAATCATGGAGACAGCCTCGATCTTACCAATCGTGCCATGTCCTGGCAATTTTGCCGATGCATTATTCTCCTATACTGCTGGACAACCCGAACTCTGCCTCTTTTAACACGGGACCTTCTTCACATGTTGAAAAATGACGGTGAAGATGCTTTGAAACAGACCTCGCCAGTATTTGCTCCACTTCTTATTCGCACTTTGGCCTATGTCCAAGCAGTTCATGCAACAAAACGGAAGATGAAGAAACCTCTGAAGAAGGCAAAGAAGGCCCGCCAAAGTAATGAAGAAACTGCAGAGTTAGTAAAGGCGGCTGAGGTAGAGAGTTTGCGACAAGTCCCATCTCACCTCATTGGCGCACAAATTGCTCGGGACGGCGGTTCAACTAAACTACTACCCAAGTTAAACTCCCGCAATATAGGCTCTGCTAGCAATAGCAAGCATCTGGCTGCTGAGCATTGCTTCGTCAATTTCCTGTATCAGGAATTAATCAAGCCCAAGGTAGACAACTAGCGCACTTATTCTAACTAGAGGAACTGATCAATCCTCAGGTGGACGCTGTGGATACTTATTTCAATGGAGGGAAGAAGTATTCAAATGATGCGGACATCATGAAGAGTCGATTCCTTGCGAGGGGAAGTTTGTTAATTGCGGTGTTGAAAATGTGTAACTGGGATGATGGGATCCTAGCGTGTCAGCAGTGGAAGGACCTGCTGAGCAATCCAAGGCATCTGTTCCAAGCTAATTACAGGTTAAAGGACCGGGATATAACTGCACGAGTCAAAAAGGACCCTGACGGATTATTTGCCTTGCTGGAACCTTGCCTTAAGGAGCGTTTCACAGGTCCAGTTTTAGATAGCATCAAGATCATCGGAGACGGAGTATGGACCTTCCTAGAGCAAGTCAACCTCAAATCTTGCAAGGGTTTCTCTCGTCGCAATCCCTACCAACTTCTGGCAGCTAGGCCATCTGCAAACAGGTTGAAGCAGGTGCAGACAGAGGGACCCATCACACCTCGCAGTCTAGTTCCAGATGCATGCAACGCCTTTGGGCAGATAGGACTCATGCTGAGGGAAGCACTTAATACCAAACGAGGGCTGGCGGTGGGAGACGTCTACATCCGCAGAGTCATGCAAGGTTTGCGACCGTCCCTAGGAGAGGTGGCCTTGAATGAGGATCTGGACCAATTCGACATCATTCGGTTTGACAACCGGTACTCTAGCCTACTTCGGTCATCATTCACTCCACAAAACCTCACAACGGCTGCTGGAGTGTCCAGCCTACTTGCTTATATGAGCGCTGGATTGGGGTATATGACCCGCGATTTTCTGAATTCAAATCCTATGCTTTTCCAGACCCTTGAAGATTGTGTCGCAACCTTCAGGCAGGCGGTTGAAAATAGCGTTGAATGCTTCAATCTCAAAATTTGGGGCCGGCCTTGTGCTCATATGGCTCTTATTGGGGGACCGAAGAAGCGCATCACATTGGACGATAAATTCGAGGAGTACTTTGACAAAGATGTTCAAGACTCTTGGCTACAACTCCTGGGCGACCTGGCTGGAAATAACCCAGAGACCTATGAAGGGCAGAAGCCCAAATACGGCGATATCAAGCGTTGGTTAAACACAATCAAATTAACGTGCTTTAGCTCCGGTCTTACTCCCCTTCAATTCTGCAATAATGCAGTCGATTTGAAGATTTGCGATCCGCCTGGAGTGGAGGAGATGGCAGCATGGGTTGGTGAGAATCGGCACCTAGGAGCCGGGGGCGGGTTGCAAGCGCTGGGTTTCCAGGTGGATTTGAGAAAAAGTTTAGAAGCCGCCTTCGAAGTGGTATACCGGCACCTTGAGCAACATCTCCATGAGGAAGACAAGGCGGGTACTGCGATTCTCTCCGATCTTTGTCGAACACCTCTTGTGCAAAGTGGCCCGCTTCTCTCGGCAATTTGAACTCAAGGATGGGACTCTGTCCGAGCGGGGGTCTACCGCCATGCAGAACCAAGCAGGCAGTTGGGAGAAAGGAGCTAATATTGGAGACAGATCAGGAAAGCTCTATCCTATCCCCCTCGCAGTAGATGAGAGCGTGGTGACACAAGTTGTGGAAGGCCTGAAGTCCCGGGGATGATAGTTGAAGTAGCTCACAGTATCCTCGCATCAAATGTAAAACGCTCAAGGAGCCGAGAGGAATTCACGTATATTGATCGAAGGTACAAATAATAATATCGACAATCGTGCGACCTATAAAAACGTTTCGTTTGGGACGCTGCATGGTAGAGGCGTCGCGGGGAAGAGGCTCGCGTGGTCGGAAGTGCGTTTGATGCCAAGGAGCTGCAGCGTTACGCAATCAAGGAGCGTTCAGCATTATTTGAGTACTACGTACCGACGCAAAGGAAGATACGGGCAATGCATCTGTGTATGCGTCGAAGTTGACGGCGGGTTGTGATCTGCGCAAGGGATCAACCGAGTCGTCACTTGAAAACGCAGATGATATTGGACCGTTCAGATGACCTAACAACTTGTAACTCTCGTCTTGGGTGAAGGGTAGGGGTATAGGCCGAGGATGCGCCAATAATGGGTCTTTGTAAGGCCGATGAAGACCGTGCAATTCCTGTCGAGCACTTGGCGCCGATGAAACACGCACAGGGTGAGTCTCCTCCGCAAATGACCAGTATCTGTACTCGTCATCAAGTCCTGCGCGTTCTTGTTAGCAAGCGAGCTGTACATGGAAAGGCGTCGCTGACTGTAATCGTCCCCAGAGAAGATAATTCCGTCGATACTAGGGATTTCACTCAAGACTCTGCGAATTCGACCGTCTATCCAACTGATAACTGGCCCTCAAGCCATCTTCTGTCTCCAATCTCTCTTCACGACGGGACCTTCTCTGGGCCACACCGCCAGCCTTGATGCGACGTGCAACATCCTCCTGCTCTGTATCGCCGATAATGGAGTTGGGAATGAGAGGTGCCCACAAGCAGAAGTCTGAAATTGACAATATGAGCGATGAATACGGTCCCGGGGCGGGTGAAGCGGCGTTAAAGGGCTGGATTGAGATGAAACGTCATATTGAAACGTTGATAATACACATACTGAATCCTCATAGACCGCCGCTTGATGGGGTTGCCGTCCCGTCAGCTTGATGAACAAAAGATCTGGAAGACTAGCAGAGAAGTCCGAGGGCGGACTCGATCCCAAAATCTGCTGCGATACTGTTGGAAAGTAGAGGTCAGCTGTAGTCTAGTATAATATATATTAAGTACCTCGCGGTAACGAAGACAAGCGTTGTGATGAAGCAGAAAAGAGCTCATCCACATTCATTGCTGCTCGCTGTCTGGTGGCCCGGAGTTGACCATCCCGTGCAGCTTTGAATAGCGCCAGATCCATCGGCATTCAATTCAGGGTATGCGGTGTGAAAGTGTCTCGTGCCACGCGAATCGCACGCTGCTGATCCTGGGGGAGTTTTGACTCCGCACCTCGTATCTTCAAATATTCCGGCTTCCTTGCTCACGCGCACACCGCAGCGAGCAAGCAGCGAGACGTCCATCTGACCCAATCAAAAGTCAAGGGCAAGGGGAACTGAAGCGAAGTTCCGATCATTTCGTCAGGCCCGAGTCCAGCAACAAGCGTTCCAAGATGCTAACATTTCCCCACAGATTATTGCACGCAAAAAGCCAGCCCACAGAGATATACTAGATGTGCGTGTTTCATCTTTTACGCATTACGCCACTCAGTACTCATTCATCACCATCATTGCAGTGTGACATAACTCGTCGTTCCTCCTGCCGGGCGCCACAAATCCCCAATATCTGTCATATCCACGGCACCCAGACCTCTACCTACAGTTGAACCCCAGCAACCTGTGTTCCTTCGTCTCGGCAACTTTCTTCACTTCTCTCCTAGCACGAGCGCAGTACACCCTGTTTGGAACGATCAGCATGATCCCCCGGATATAGGTCGGGACTCTCGTATCTCGGTTCTTTGACAGTTGACTCCATGATGGCACCGCAGGTCCCTGCTACATTGCCCCTACCATCCTCTCTCTCAGGTCAGACCGCAACTCGATTCGATCATGTTAGTCTTAGATTTCTATACTAACCTCGCAATGCATGAATGAATGCGTATCCATTTTGAGATAGGTTCTCTGCCTTCCCCCTCGAACGGAGTCGCGCAATCCCCACGGCAGTATCTCGCGTTCCTCGTGCCCAGACGCAGCCATGGTCCACAAGTCGTCGAAGTCGCACCAGACCGCAAAGTCGCTGTAGCGTACACTTTATTACTTTTCGGTGCCTTCTTCTGATTTGTGCCCTACAGAGGCTCGTTGCTGCCAAACTACCGGAATACAAGCCATCAGGCTGCCGTGCCGGAGGAAAACGACGCATCTGACGTTGATTCACTCACAGATGAGCAGAGCCATAGCGGCGTTCATGGTTGCAGTTAACTCTATGTACATTGGTCCACCGTTGTATCTTCTATAACTGATGATGATTATACACTTATATCAATTCTACGTCATCTGCGATACTCGGCTCATTTGCTAAATCCCATCACAACTTGAATTTGTCAACATGGGAGCTAGCATTTTTGATGGAGTGGTCTCTGCGAAAGAGCGAACGCAAATGTGGGATAGGACTTCGGTTGACAAGCGCCAGCTCTGTAAATGTGACTGTTAGCGTGGCAGACATCGAGGACTTTACTCCATCCGCATCCGTTTGAAATCCCCGTTTCGAAGTGAGATTGCAGAGCAATGGTAGGATGGAGCTGGGTGATGTCCGGGTGATCAATGGGACACAAATCAAGGGCATCTTGAAACAGATTGATAGGGATGTCGAGGTCGAGGTGTCTTCCGTCAGCTTGGCAACTGACAAACTTTGCGGCAGCTAGATTGAGCAGTGCTTCGGGGCGGTGGTTATGGTCCATCGGGCAGAGATCCGAGGCGCGTTCAAGGATTGGTCGAGATCCCTACTGCTCTGCGTCCTGCAGTATCACGCGAGAAGACGATGATCGGTATTCTGACAGAGCCACATACCTCTCTGGACGAAGTCCTTGCGAGCACGTACGACAAATCCATCGGGAAGAAGTCCTGGTCGTCCTTATTGAAGATACGCAGGATGCTTTGCTTGAAAATGGACGTAGCAAACGAATCAGATTAGATGGTGACGATTCAAATGTGAACGAAATAAGAGAAACAGACATACATACAAGGGATCGTGAGGTCGATCACGATGTACTGGGTTCGTGTGAGGAGAGAACCGAAGAGGCGAACGAAAATGCGTTGTCGCGGATCTATTGAAGGCGGAGGTCTCTGTACCATAGGTATGGCAGGTATTGGCGGTCTGCGGTGCCCGGCAGCAGGACAACGAGTTGCGTCAGACTACAGTGGCGGTGAACAACGAGTGATGTTGTGAGTAAAAAATGAAACGCCCTCACTTAGTAGGTTAAGAATAGATATCTGAGGTCGTCTTACTGTCCACAGAACTGAGCATCCCAACGATCAACGGATACGCCTCGCCGTCCTCATCAGAGAGGGACGGCAGCAAGATCGGCTGCTCCGAGTTTGGTCGGCTCCCTCCCGCCATCTCAATATTGGCCTACAAAAATAGCGGGTCAATGTGCCAGACTCTTGGCCGCTCACCTTCTGTATATCGAGAGCGCTTATTTGAAAAGAACTCTTGTCGCATCCTTAAGGCTCCAAAGACCGGCTCTGTTGAGTTCGGATGATAACGAAGCAAGTTACTAACCGTGAACATTTCTTTCCAAATTTAGGCTCCAAGATACATGTTGAGCTTCCACACACGTCACGTGTGTGGAAGCTCGACTCCTTCATACTTCTCAAACATCATAGTCCATCGAGCAACAGTACTTAACGTCTAATAGGACCATAAAATGATACCTTTTCATGCCTTTCACCTGCCCATGCCGCAATATCAGCCACCTGTTGAGCCTTTGATTTGGATTGTCAATCCTTCGAACCTCGACATTGACGAAAAAATCCTTGCGGTCATAAAAAAGCTGGAACAATTTCGGACGTTGTGATCCTTGGTAAATAAAATCGAGTTGCGCGAAGGCCTCGAGAACTTGCTGGCGTTGTGCCATTGAACGGGCACTTGTAAAGTCCATTGGGAGATTTTCAATCGCGTCTCGAGCAGCGAGCGATAATGGTCGTACGAAACTCATGATTGAAACTTAACGTAGCTTATAGTCTGAGCGAGAGCAGCAGACGGGAGCAGACACGTAAGTAACTTGCAAGTTGTAAGTACTGTATGATCGCAAGTACCTCTGGCATTACCGGCATCTGTCAAATTTCAAACTCCTCGCTTCGCCTGCCAAATTTCTCCGAGATCGACCAATCTGACTACGTCAACACTTAACATCTCAAAGACGTAGTCCAAACTGGTCACGAGTCTAGCAAAACACCCGGTTTCCCAATGTTGTGTAACGGTCGAGTAATTGTTGACTCCAAGGCCATAGGCAATTAAGGGAACCGAGCTAGCCCGGAGTCATAACAGGGTGCTCAACGCTCCAAAGTCTGGTGCATGGTACGGCAGCCCGATCGCCGGAAACTCGTCGACACATTTTTGAATTAACTCGAACCCCGCTTTCCCATAGATTGCCACAAGCCTGTCGGCAACGGAGCCGAACAACTCAGTGCTCGAGGTAGGGTCCAAGCATCATGCATCAAGGCCCGATACACGTACATAATTCCCAGGTTGATGCGACGCAACCCAAGGGCAGCGAAAGTAGTGAATATGTATCTGTCGTTCCCAATTCCTGCATCTATTGTCGTTCGGTAAAGCTTGTTCGCGTCTCGGTGCAGGAAGAATCAGAGGCGTATTGATGCTAGTCAACCAGGCGTTGTTTCCCCGCCCAAACCTAGAAAGCGTACCAATCATTCCCTGTTCTCTCCAGAGTGTCTCAAACGTGCAAGAATTATGGCTAAAAATTCACATCTGCTGCAGATGTCGGACACGACGCGAAGGCGAAATTTGTTTGAGGATCAGAATCTGACGAAACTCCGTGGTGCTTCGTATACCAATATGTTGGTAAGCGACTTGCGCATTAGGGAACTTCACCGATACCCTGCTAGCGCTCGATCGTTTCCCTAAAGATAAAATGGAATTGAACGGAGCTATTAAAGAATTAAATATGTACATGCCCAATACTTACTGGTCATTCTCCCGGGGCACATAAGAGGCTCAGTGGAATCTCCGTTCTTCAGGATCGCTCCCTAGCTTCTCTAGTCTGAAAAGACGCGCTGACCGTGCGCAGCTTGCTTTCCATAGACCTGACCGTGGTCTTGCAAGCCCGTAGTCGCAACGGAGCAATCCATATTATCTCTCCCCCCAATAGCTTCTCTGGTCTGAAAAGACGCGCTGACCGTGCGCTGCTTGCTGTCCATAGACCTGACCGTGGTCTTGCGAGCCTGTAGTCGCGACGAGGGATCGGATCTATATCATCTCGCTCTTTTGATCGGTCTCCTTGGCCCCGCAAACGCGCATCATCATATTCATTAGCTTCACATACATGGTTCTACCTCAAGGCTCCTCTAATTCTAACGTTCATCCTGCCTTTCAACATCAGAGTGACGAAACGACTGCGCCCTCCGCTTGTGAAGGTCGAGGCGCGCGATACATCTTCGTTGACGACGATCTGCGCTAGAACGTCGAGCGAAAGTAAAAATTTGGATGGGCCTTCAATTAACTTGGCGGGATTCCTTGAGCGTCCTAAAGAAAGGCTTCACGATTTATCAGTGTGTATGCTAATGATGACAGTTGCGCTGACCAGTTTGAAAACATCGCTACTTTTCGACGGAGAAGAATTGCGCTGTTGTAAGGCATCAGCAACATTCAATCAGACAGGACGATAAAACTACTACTCACTCTCGCTGGCTGTTAGGCCGCCATGCAATAGATGATACAGAGTGCGGTCGATCAATTGTCCTCTTACAAAGTCTGTCCTCCGTTCAGACCTTCATTCCGCGAGTTGATCTCGTCCAGAGAATGGTACAGTCTCAGACCTGTTCCAATCGCATTTTAAACATTTAAAAATAAAAACGCAGCGTTACATACCATGCGACTTTGCCGATAAAGCCTCGCACGTGTACCAGAACAGCCTGAGTTGAAAATGATTTTTTGGACCACCGTTATGCCAACGACCGACAACATCCAAGTTCTGCGCAGTGAGAGCGCAACTTAAAGTCACCCATCAGATGGCAGCGAGAAGAAGAAAAGACCGATCGAATGATATGTAAGACGCTGCGAAGAGTGGGCGACGACTCGGATCAGCATGACTCGAGCTCGAAGGAGGGTGGATGGACTCACATCCTGTGAACAGTGAGCGACGATTTGGATCAGCATGTCTCGAGCTCGAAAGAGGGTGGACGCACTAACGTACTACGAAAAGTGAGCGATGACTCGTCAGCATATCTCGAGCTCGAGAGAGAATCGATACGCTCTTGCCCACTATCTGGGCGACGACTCGGATCAGCGTATCTTGAGATCGAAGGAGGAACAGGATCGGCATTTGCCGGCTGACTTCGAAACCTCACGCGATGTTCGAAACCGACAACATCGTTCATTATGCATTAGGCGTCCACTGACACCAGCCGCCGATCTCAAATTTATTGTATTTTGACACTTATTTTTCTTATAGATTTTTCTCATAGACAGATAGGCCGTGAGGCGCTGGCCTTCTTCGGTCACACAGATCGTAAGTGCCTGCTGCTTTATATTGATTTTACTTGCCGCTGATACTGTCAAATCCATGCTTTCTTCCAGTTCAATTGTGACGTTCTCCAACTTGAAGCAGGTCCCCAACCCAGCTGCACTGTGAGTTCACCGTGTTTTTCGCGCCCGCCGCCACTCTCAGCTCATTTATGTATTAGCGGTCTGTTCTCCTTCGCGTCCACGACCTTCATTCTGTCTCTCTACAACGTCAACGCCCATGGAGTCATTCTCCCCAATGTAGTCGTCGGTATGGCCTGCTTCTGCGGTGGTCTTGCCCAGCTTCTTGCTGGTATGTGAGGGGGGCTGTTTCAATTGGAGTCAAGGGCGGGTGACTTCCTTTTTCGTTTTTGTCAAGTCTCTACTCACTTATAGCGCACACAGTCGCACCACTGGCTCGAAATATTGCAGCATTGGATGCGTTCTGTTGACCCACCGGTACATTCTCTAATTTGTATCATTGTTCTAGCTAGTCTCTGTGTAATTTGAACTGTTTTTTATTTTTTATTTTGGTGCAACTCGTGAATATCTGTTCTGCGTGCTGCAGGCCTAGCACTGAGTTCAGAGAGGGTCGCAGGCGCAGGAGAGGTGACAGAACCTCTGGCACTAACCATACCTCTTCCGAATCCGCCTCCAACCAGAACGGTGCTTCTTCCTATCCTACGAACAACTCATCTTACGAAAATACACGGCCTCGTATGAAAAACTTCCCTTCCCTCCTTCCACTCCTGACGACCTTCCCGCTTCATTTCACGTTGATTCTGACTACTTCATATGACTAGGAATTTATGCGCCCATCGCTGGCTCAAGCAACCCAAGACAAACGGAACTGCGGACGAGTTCTGTGTTTACTATGGCAGTCTCAATGAAGAGCAGAGGAAGGTATGTGATTTCGTTCCCTATGTACAGATATCTACTCATTTTAATCTAGGATTATGACAATGTAGCTAACGTTAGTGTTCCAGGCTAATCCTTGTGAAAAGATATTCATTACAGTTGAACATACACTTTAGGATAATGCTACACGACGTCCAATTCAGCCACATCCGCCTGCCCCAAGGTTTCTTCGATGCAGATAATTCTCATGTACGTTATCACTAACATTTCGATTTTGCTTTCTTGACCTCTGCGTACTTCGTCTTCTGCACGACGCCATCTTCGCTTTTCGGCGCCGTCAGGCAGCACGTTTCTCGATCGCTCGTTCGCTCGCAGCTCCTCCAATACGGTTAGAGGCGTACGTATGTTAGCATCAGCGGTCATACAAGTGATTGATGGAGATTCTATAGCGCCAAAATACTCCAAGCAAGGCACATACAATACGCAGCGCAGCACCTGATAAAATTCCCTCGTCCCTTCGCCGATCACGAGCCGGATCAAGATCGCAAGTCCCTACCGACTACCCTCCTTTACCTCCCAGCACATTGCTAAGTCCGTCAGGCCCAACCAGCCAGCCTCCTCTCTCTCCACGATCACACCATCATGCACCAAGCGTGGCACCCTCTGACTCTCCCAAGCCCCATTCAAGTCTGCTAAGATCGCAGAGAGGGAATTAAGGGAGAAGATGTGCTCGGTTGTGAGTGGCTACCCCATGAGTGACGTTGATGGGGCTGCATCAAAATGTGGAGGTTCATGGAGTGCCGCTAGCAGCCCAATGTCTCCCTCACATCACAACCGCCCATTCTCCCCCTACCGTCATACCGCCACCCAAGAACCCTTACTATTTACTACCACAGTGCAAGTCCAGAGGCAGGCATCTTCATAATCGAATGCATTGTCTCAGTTGAATGTGACATCTCAATTTTTTGACTTGATGGAGGCTCGGGATATTGTCCTCAGGGTGACGGTGAAGTGCGGCAGCGCGAGACTTGTTGAAAGCACTCTCGGACGCATGCTCGAGAGCGAGGAAAAGCGAAATTCCATGTTCAATGTCAGAATCATCTAGCCGTGCTTGTGCTTGTGGTGGGTTTCGCAAACGCTCCAATGCATCTCCGATAAGTCCAGCACCGTCGTCGAGAGTAGCATTATGCAGCGCGAGAATAAATTGCATATCTCGCTGAAGTTCAAAACGTTTCGCATCACGACCCAACTGATCTAGGTCAAGATCTTTCAATGAATTATGCCAATGTGCTGCAGGTGGTGTCTCGTCACGCTGATCTTGATTGGCTGCACGCATCTCATTATTGTCAAGATCGTCAGGCGGTCCATCAGGCTCTCGATGCTGCTCGTCATCATCACGGCCTTCAAGATCTCGGGGCAAGGCATCAAAGTCTGGCTCTGGTATGTATTGATCGTTGTCTGGACTGCCTGGGGGATGCGGAAGATTGAGATCCTACATCATAATATTAGCGAGGTAACTTAGATTGTACATTTGTCTTACATTAACAAACGGTTCTTCTGATCCACATCTGCGCTTGCGTGAAGGCCTGTCGTCATCACTGCTACTGGAAGATGTAGTGGAAGAGGGTGTACGTCCCGAACCGGAGGCAACGGGAGGTTGAGATGGTCCTGCAGCTGGTGCGTTGTTCGTAGTAGTAGCAACAAAGTTTTGAAATGACCGAGAGAGCCTTGCAGCTCGCACTCGAGGCTTCTCATTCTCATCAGCCACTTGCAGGTGTCTTTGCCATGTCCTGAGGGACTTCAGACACTTCCGCTGTCCATGACAATATTTCCGACAGCAACACCAATGTTCTGCGTCCATAGGCTAACTACAATTTCATGTGCTTAGTAGCCACATAGTAAATGAAAGAACGCACCTTTGGGAGCCTTCGGATTGATTTCGAGTAGCCTCAGTAACACAACAAAGTATAAAATCAATGTTGCTCAAGACTTGTTGAACGTACGTTGAACACGTTGAGCTGCGCAGCGTGCACAAAATCAAACGCGTCGTTCAACATGTGTTTGCGTAACTTCGATTTCCATCTATATGAGTCTACCGACTACTCGAAACTCACAAATCCGTCGACCTCCGTGGAAATGGCTATGTCCGACTTTCACTGCGGATTAAGTTTAAGCCCAGTGAAAATATAAGATCATCGTACTATTACGCGTAGAACTACGGAAATCAAAATTTGTGAATATTTGTTACTTCAAGGAATTCTATTTACCTTGATCAGATGCTTCGAACACTGACAACCGCTACATGGGCGCGAGTAGCCGATGTGATTCGCTCGAAATCGAGGGGCCTGAGTCTTGTACCGGAGTCATGTGAACGTCCTGCACAGTAAGCGTGGCGTCCATTATTCGATAGCGGCACAGGCGCAATGAAATGAGTGATCAGAGGATATCATGGCTCTCAGTACCTTGCGCTCAAAGGAAACCAGCGCGTTTCCACCCCTTTTGGATATTGTAATGTCGCGCACATCGTTCACGACGGGCGTCAGTAAAAAATATTTGAAAAGATGAAGGTAACTCACCTTTCGAACGCTTTAGTCTCCATATTGAAAACTGTGTTATATGAAGTCAATCGGATGATCTATGGATCACCTATTATGCATTTTTCAACCCTAGTGGTGCGGCTTGGATGCAACCCATTAGGTGCTGCAAGAAGTGGACGCACACCCAGCAGCTGCTGACCATCAGGAGTCGCAGCCACATTGCGCAACGGGATGCGACCGAAGTGATACGAATCAAGAACCTTGAAATATATTCAGTGGGGATTTTGCTGACGCTGAGCGATTTAATCACCCTTCCTTGAGCGTCCTAAAGAAAGTGTTCGCGATTTATCAGTGCGTACGCTAATGATGACAGTTGCGCTGACCAGCTTGAAAACATCGCTACTTTTCGACGGAGAAGAATTGCGCTGTTGTAAAGCATCAGCAACGTCCAATCAGACAGGACGATAAAACTACTCACCCTCGCTGGCTGTTGGGCAGCCATGGAATAGATGATACAGTGGGCAACGACTTAGATCGGCATGGCTCGAACCTGAAGACAGACCGACGCACTCACATCCTGCGAACAATGGGCAATCAGCGTGGCTCAAGTTCGGAGGAGAATCGACACGCTCACAGCAATGTCGATCACCAGGGCCCGAGCTCGAAAGAGGATCAACACCCTCACAATCTGCGAACAGTGGGTAAGGACCTCGATCAGCATGGCTCGAGTTCGAAGGATGATCTACGCGCTCACAGGCTGCGAATGGTAGGCAACGACTTTGATCAGCATGGTTCGAGCTCGAATGAGGATCGACGCACTCACGTTCTGGGAACAGCAGGGCGACGACTTCAATCGGCATGGCTCAAGCTGAGAAGGCGCTGACAATGTTTCATGAATGGCCATATTTCCTGAACGCGAGAGAACCCGTCATAAATCTTAATATCTTAGTAAAAACACAGGACTGTTAAATCGCTTACCAACAGATGAGGAACCAAAGACTGAGGATCAATACCCTCACAAGCTGTGAACAGAGCTGGCTGCTAGCGCAGTAGAGGTTGACGTTCTTCGGCTCCTTGATCATGGAGAACTGACGCCAGAAGAACCCCAGCTTGAGGAAACAGCAAGAAACATATACGCGCCTGCGCCGGATGCCAGGTTCCCGTATAATGAATCTCACCTGTTGGTAGTTGAGCTTAACGGTCAGCAGATCCCAGCTGGCGCTTACCCTGCCATAGGTACGAGCGAAAGACAGATCCAACGAAGGGCGCAGAAAACATGTGTCATGGGCAACGTTAATCACGTTGGATCGCCTTGGACTACGTCAGCATCATCCAAATAACACAATCGAGCATCACAGATTCGCAGGCAAGCCCTTCAGCAAGATCGACCGCCAACAGTGGATGGCATCTTCCAGGAAAATTGGTCATGGCAAGGGGGACCGTTTTACCCCTTGTCATGGCGAAGCTGCCCAACATGTATCTTGGAGCCTAAATTTGGAAAGAAATGTTCACGGTTAGTAACTTGCTCCGTTATCATCCGAACTCAACAGAGCCGGTCTTTGGAGCCTTAAGGATGCGACAAGAGTTCTTTTCAAATAAGCGCTCTCGATATACAGAAGGTGAGCGATCGGCCAAGAGTCTGGCACATTGACCCGCTATTTTTGTAGGCCAATATTGAGATGGCGGGAGGGAGCCGACCAAACTCGGAGCAGCCGATCTTGCTGCCGTCCCTCTCTGATGAGGACGGCGAGGCGTATCCGTTGATCGTTGGGATGCTCAGTTCTGTGGACAGTAAGACGACCTCAGATATCTATTCTTAACCTACTAAGTGAGGGCGTTTCATTTTTTACTCACAACATCACTCGTTGTTCACCGCCACTGTAGTCTGACGCAACTCGTTGTCCTGCTGCCGGGCACCGCAGACCGCCAATACCTGCCATACCTATGGTACAGAGACCTCCGCCTTCAATAGATCCGCGACAACGCATTTTCGTTCGCCTCCTCGGTTCTCTCCTCACACGAACCCAGTACATCGTGATCGACCTCACGATCCCTTGTATGTATGTCTGTTTCTCTTATTTCGTTCACATTTGAATCGTCACCATCTAATCTGATTCGTTTGCTACGTCCATTTTCAAGCAAAGCATCCTGCGTATCTTCAATAAGGACGACCAGGACTTCTTCCCGATGGATTTGTCGTACGTGCTCGCAAGGACTTCGTCCAGAGAGGTATGTGGCTCTGTCAGATTGTCTGTCAGATTCTGACATATCTACTGCAGTTCCCGGGGCCAGGATCATTGGGTACCACAAGACTTTGACCCTATCGCCTGCATTGATGCATCACCACGCAAGATCAACTACGTTCTCATCTACCCCACTGCGTCTAACGTCCTCGCCAGTGCATCCAGCGAACACGCAGTTAAGCTTTGGGATCTTGCTGATACCGATCGCCCACGCTCTGTTCTCACCGGACACAACGATACAATTCAGTGTCTCACCTTCAATTCCACCGGCACACTCATGGCGATTCTATTCGATCCTCGTGCTGGTGGCGAAGCTGTTCACATCACTGAGATATTAAGGGCACTCATGCCGTATAGATGTAGTCTCGAAATGTGAATGTGTTTGACCGCTCGTCACGTTCGAGCGCACTGTTGTTTGGCAGGTGTGTTTTTCTTCTTTTTATGGCGAGTTCTTTTCTTTTCTTCCCTGCGTGTGCTAGAACTAATGCGATGTGAACGCGACAGGACGTGATGCCCAAAATGGACGGAGTCAGCGCTTTGAATCTGATCCGCCAGCCCGACCATATGACCCCCATCATCGGCATGACGTCTAATTCAAAACCGAGCGAGATTATGACGTATTATTCATCTGGAATGAATGATATTTTGCCCAAGCCATTTACGAAGGAGGGGTCGTTGGATATGTTGGAGGTGCGTTTTTTGTTTTGTACCGAGGTGTATAGATCGACATTGACACGGATGGATAGAAACACCTGATGCACCTTAAAGTCATCCAACAAATGTCAAAAGTACCTTGTTCGCTCGGTGTTCCTCCTCTCTCAGACCCGTCTTTGAGCGAGGCACTCGCAGTTGGGGCGTCGCAATTACAACCACACAATTCTTCGTCTAATCCTGGCTTCTCGTCTAATTCATCCAGTCTGCATCCGATGTTGGGAACGGGGTACGACGATGATGGACGGATTAACTCGTTGGCAGGGATGGGTCTGTCTGACGAGCGATACGCGGCTATTCTGAGAGATATCGTTACCCAGGAGAGCTTCTCGGGCGTAGGAGTTCGAGAGGGTTTTTCGTTCGGTCTCGCTGGTGCTTTGGGTCCCGGGATGGGAGGGGAGAAGCGGGAACTGGACGATGAGGGCGATGGGAGAGAGGGAAAAAGGGCACTGTTTGAGATCATCGAGTGAGTTTGAGTTTCGTCGGGTGGAAACCAGTTGGAAGACGCCTTTTCTTTGGCGCTGGTACAGCCATGCGCATGGACCACCACCACCACCACCACACCGCTACAGGTCCTACTTGCTCTTCAGTTCGTTTATTTACTTCGCATCAATTACTGCCCTCACAAGTTCAGCTACCGGCTATCAATCTCCCTCAGCGCGCATCAGCCACAACTCTCCCTCCCATGGCTGCAATGGACTCTTCGCCCTATCGCCACCTTTCTCCAGTTTCGTGGGGCCCATCGTCGTCGTCGTCGACAATCCATCGCACCTCAAATTCAAGAGACGACATATCACAGCGAGAGATGAGGCAGATGAAAAGAGAACCCACTCATCAGATCCACTCGGTCCCGCCACAAGCTCCGGCAGCCCTGTGAAACTAGCAGCGCCGAATTAGCAACTGTGCAATCGCACATTGGCGTCCTGCAAAACTTTTATCAATCGCTCTATTTGTCGCATGATACACTTTTATCATCCCACGAGACGCTGCGCGGACAGACGGATTCTCTACTTGCATCCCATTCGACTTTACGCGCTCAAAATGATAATCTATTCGCTACAAATGAGAGTTTTGAGGAATCAAGTCGGAAGGGCTCGTATTAGGGTGTTGGAGCGACAGTACGGAGACGTGCTTTTTGAGATGGTCAATTTCAAAAGGGGACGGCGCAGCAGGATAGCTTAATGCAAGGGTTGATACGGTATTTTTTAGGGGAGGGAGGTGAGCGTCCTTGATTGATTGATTTGTTGCTCTATTTTTTTTGTACTTTCCGTCTCTTCCATGTACCAATCTACTAGACCTCCACGCAGAAATCGTATCCGTGCACCTATCCTGATTATAGGTGCTCAACTGATGGCGCACCGTGACCCGCCCTCCCCGACTCAGAACATTAGACTCCGGTTCATGGCTACTTTTTTTGAGGAAGGAGCGGGTCATTATTGACCGATGCCTTCGGTGAAATTATATTGAGGAAAGAAAAAGCGAAAGAGTGATCTACACACCTTAGAGTGGCTTTGAATCGGTCGACTGGACTTCCTATCAACGTCGATACCACTACCGTCTGGGTGACTGGGAAGGTAGACTCCAACATCAACAACTATCTTGACCATCTCTTCGTCGATCTTTGCCTGTAAAGACACGTCAAATCATATCCTAGGACAAATTTCGACGGTCTCGCCTTTTCTCAGGTTTCGACTATTTCATGAAGCGCTTCAGTTTCCCAGAGATCCAGACAACCTTGTTGAGGAATCCAAATTCCCGATCGTAAAAATACACAGGCATCACCAGACGGCGAATCCACCACCCTATCAGACATCCGATCTAGCGCGAGCTTCATGAATCTTCCTAACTTCGTGTCAGTGGAGAGATGCAAAAACATGCATCGAACTCACGATTTCGGCAGCATCATCCTTGAAGCAATTGACTTTCGTGTTCCATATTCTGGTGGCAAAAGACTTGAGACACCTTTGCGGTTTTGAAGATGAACTGTGTGATATATCCTAAAGCGGACATTCAGAAACCATACCAGCAGGAGGTGACAGATACACACCGAGGCCACCAAACCAAAGGACCCGGACGTCTTGAGGAATGAAAAAGAATGTGAGGTTGACAGGACGCTGCTTTAGGACTCGATGGGCAAGAGCGGATCGTTGCCGTGTGACCCGTGTCGTCGCTCGATAAAAGTAACAGCGATCACAAGAGTGACAGGCGTTCGAATGATGATATACTGACAAAAACGTAAACTTTGGAATCACAATATCGCAGAACAACAATCACCTGCAAGTCTCGTCTGTCCACCTCGGAAGGAATCCCTGATCAAAAATTGTAGAGCTTCTGAAGTATCGGCTACCCGGTAGCATTGGACCGGACCCGATTCTGCACCTCAGCATGAGCTGCTGGGCTTTTCAAATGTTCGGCCGGATAGACCGCTATGGCTGGGTCTACCTCCCGCATTGCTCGGACTACGCCAGGCCAAGTCGACTATTGGAATGCATGAATCCCAGAGTCATCAAGGTGCTTACCCCAAGCATATTGCGCTCGAACAGGCTATGGGGGTCACTGCCTCGTGTTTCCTCGTTTTTCTTCGTTGCTAGGATTAACCCGGACCCAGGGATGGACAAGCAGTAGAGTCTGCCAAGCGGGCGGCCTTGCCCGCGGGAATGACATCTGCTTGTCTTCCGTGGGGATCAGCACATCATGAAGCCCGTCTGCCTGGACATCATATGTGGATCACACTTTTTGCGCATCAAGTAATGCATCATCCCATAGTATTTTGTTCGAGCTTGCCTTACTGCGATTTGCAAAGATGGTAGCAGTGGCAAAATCCAGGTCGATCGCCGCTGAGTATAGCTAGATGGCTCTGTCGTAATCCTCGTAGTGAGTGCATATCAACGACAAGGGTCTGCACAGAGCATCTTGTTCGTAGCCCGCCGCAGTTTCGCAGTATTGGCTGTGATCAGAATGTTTTCAAGGATCTTTAGGCGTCTTCTTTGCTTCGTGGCAGTTGTACTTGCATCTCGATCCAGGATAGGAGAGATGACTTCAAAACGAGGGAACTCGTTGCCTGGTCATTAGAAGTCAGGTTGGCAAGCACCTGTAAAATAATTCGAATTAAGGGTCAACGAGAGCGCTGGCACCACAGACCTCCAGTACTGTGCGTCGCAACGCTTGATCGCGAACTGAGCTCTGCACAAGACTTGAAAGAAGCTCCCATGTACTATGTCGGCATTTAAGCACCTTCTAATCTTCTGCGCTCATCAAGCCGTAAGATAGGAACCTGGCAATCCATCCACGCTCTTTCTTCCAGTCATCCGAACTGCCATAGAGCATGCCGTATAGCATTGGCACATCGGATCACGTCAAGTTCTGGGCGCTGAAGAAGGAAACGCGCCGTGCGCGGGTAGATGAAATCAGAAGGATAAAATACCCCACGAATAGCGTGAGATTGAATCAATGATGCGTGCGAAGGCCATAGTTAAATGGGCAATCAACGCCGCAAAACCTGCCAAGGACATGGGTGATGAGCCTCTCGCGCTCAAGTTCTGCCATGCTGACATGCGAGGCATAGCACCGAGCAGTGAGTAACCGTACACCTGTATCAGGGTGAGGCGGGAAGAGAAGTTTGTGTAATAACGCCCCGTCCCATAGTACTAGATGCTTGGGAAGGAGACGATTAGCGCGGAGAAGGCGATTATATGCCAGCAACATGCAGTGCAGACTAGTAGTTTCGATTTCAGCAACAGAAGGAGCCGCAGATATGAAAGCAAGTGGTCTCTTGGATAGACATGGTTTTTGCAAGAAAACGTATAAGCATCTAGAACCAAATATGAGACGAAAAAACACAAGTGCGATAATGAAACGCACAGACATAGCTCCTCATGAAGCTCGATGAGGAGACAACACGCGATGAACCTGTCGTGAAGCCATCTGGCGCATAAAAGGATTGAAGGCGAGACACTGGATAGTATCGTTGTGTCCGGCGAGAACAGAGCGTGGGCGATCAGTATCAGCAAGATCCCAAAGCTTAATTGTGTGTTCGCTGGATGCACTAGCGAGGACGTTAGACGCGGTGGGATGGAAGAGAACCTGACCGATCTTGCGTAGTGATGCATCGATGCGGGCGACGGGGTCAAAGTATTGCGGTACCCAATGATCGTGACCCCAGTCTTCAACAACGGAAGACTCAACCTTCCATATCATGACCTTGTCGTCTTCACTACCCGAGGCAACAATAGAGTCGTTATGTGGGAAACAATCAGTATCGAGGACGGGTTATTGGCAAGCTCGCGAAGGAACTTCATGATGGTCCAGGCAGACTACGAGTCAAGACCAGAGGTAGGCTCGTCCAAGAACAAGAGGAGCTTGGGCTATATCACAACACTATGAGCATATCACCCAGCGGAAACACCTATGGGACAAACCTTGGCAGTGAACGCAACGCCGATAGTCGTACGTTTGTGGTGCTCGACGCCCAAAGACCCAACAACGGCATCGCAGTGCGCGTACCCTGCAGCTGCTTGAAAGGTGTTACAGCGATGTCAAATGCAGAAGCAGTGTTGAATTCGGTCGCAGTGAACAGAATGGCGAGGAAGCCAACAAAGAAGGCACAGACGATACCAAAGTCCTGAAGAAGCCGATTAGTGAATCTGCGTCGGATACTTTAGCCGAAACTAAGCACTCCCATAACCGCATACAACTTGTTCAGCCCGATCACTGGCATTGGCCCATACAGATATGTATGTATCTCATAAGTAACTTATTTGATGAATTGACAAGCGTGTTGCACGATGTTCAACGATGCCGGAGTTTTGCTAGCCCTTGCACAACACACGTTCTTGCAATGCCCAATCATAACTTAACTTGAACAAGGTTAATTGATTAGCGCTGCCTCAAGGTTTGTGGTCAAGGGTATTCGGGTGCTTGTTATTTGAATTTTGGTTCTACCGAGTACTCTTCCCTCCCCCTAGTTCTTGAATCCATTTCCCTCAGGTCGATACAAATCTTTCACTGTTTGCAATGAACGAAGACCGCAGGCCAAAACATCCTCCAGAGCCCTCTGAATCCAGAGAGGCAACTACTGGCGAGAGCTTCGTACGTGCTCTTATGCGATCACTGTCGACAAGCGCTAATAGCATCGTCGCTGCCTCTTTACGCATCCTTCATCAGGAGCCAGCCCCGTAGCGGATTTCGACAGACCCTCCAGAAATTTAAGAAGAATTTGACTTAAAAAGTTTCTGTACGTCGACCTTGAGCTTCTGCTGAGGGAGCTGGAATATAGCTCATATATATTGTGCAGAAACGCTTCAAGCGTTCCCGCAACCAAACCCCTCCTGTCCAGAACGCTGACCATGAAGGTACTTCGTCGAATCAGAATATTGAGGTAGGTGATCATTATTGTAATCTTGAACTTACCTGAGGTCCATCAAGGATGTGTCGCGTCTACATCCTTCCAATGGTGAAATTTTGTCCTGCACACACGCCTATTAATCTTGCATGCAACTCATACACACAGTATGCCCACCTTGATACTCAAAGTCGCCACGAATGCTGCGCAAAACCACACTTCGCACGTCTGCCGACTTGTGGATGACATGAAAATTCTTCCCTCCTGTCTCGCCGACGATTCTCGGATACCCTTTGTACTTGTCTAGGTTTGCGGCAACGTTTTTCCATAGCTTCTTGAATATAAAGGTGCTGCCCGTGAAGTGGAGTGCTGCAAAGTTGGTGTGGGATATGGCCTGTGGGACAACCTCTGGAGGTAGCCCAAGAACAAACTGGATGACGCTAGCTGGAACACCAGCCTCCGTAAGAATCTGGTAGACCAAGTAATTGGAATACATAGCCGCTGGTGAAGGTTTCTGTATGACTGTGTTACTGACGATTGCGGGAACTAAGAGATGAGTCATTCAGAACGTAAAACTCGTTATAGAATAGTCGTTCGTACCACCTGGAATGTTGCCACCGATTACTGCGAAGTTGTATGGTGAAACTGCGAGAACAAATTCTTCCAGCGCACGATAATCGACGCGGCTAAGCAATCACTGCCGACATGGTTCAGCATCAGGAGTGACTCGTAAAGTTCACATAGACTCACCATCATGTAGGTTCATTTTCGACTGCAGGTACCTTGAATGTGGCCAGCACTGCGCGCTATCAAAATTTTCATCCGTATGAAACGAGGGCAGAACCTGACCCTAGGTTTCAGCCACGTCAGCGCCTTCGTTGAACACCGGCGTCGACACGGCAGTCAAGGTTTCGCCCTCTCATCAATACCAGTTCAAAATATGTCCTATCTTCGATAGGGCGCTACCTCGCACCGAACTGTTTTGTACCGCGAGTTGGCAGACCTGACACGCGTTAAGCAGGAAAATTGTTCGGTCAATGGGACTCACGAGTCGAGAATGCCTCCTGTCTTTCTCAATTTCTCGCAGTACGTCTGCAAGGAGATCCCACTTTAATCCATGTTTTCTTCTTTTCCTTCTGCTTCCCGTTATGCAATGCGCTTCATCAAGCGCAGCCCATGCATTTTCATCATCACTTGTCTCTGAGGAACCGAAGCCGTGGGTTTTGGAGCATCAAGTACATAATAACACTGTCGTTTGGCGGTGCTAAAAATCATTTTGGCGCTATTGGTTAGCATCCAAGGAGACTAGTGGTGTTCAGCTGTACCTGATGCAGTTATGGTATTCGAGGCTATGAGAGTTTGAAGGTATGCGCGAAAAGCGAGCGCGTCGTAGGACAGCAGGTACCTTGATGGAGAACCTAGGTCAGTTGTATTAAATGGACGTCTCAGCGTCGCGAGGTCACCTACAAGTTGCTTCGTCTGTGAACCGACCTTGTACTATACGGGGTCTGATTGCCCGCGCACTGCTGCACCAAAGGAACAGAAGTATGCGGACTCTAAGTTAAGATCATCAAGCTCAAGCTGTGAGATGAATGAATGAGGATTCGTTCAGGTGCAAATAAGACCAGCTCGATGATACTTACTATCTTCTTAAGCTCGGAAAGGGTGACAGTCATGCATTGTACGATCGCATGGTGAATTGCCTCCATAGGCTCCGTAAGATGCTGATACAGCTCGATAACATCTACTGTACGTGTTTCGAGTGTTTTCTTGATGTCTTCATGAAATCTGGACAAAAAACGGGTGAGAAAAACGGCGATAAAAGCACTAGAAGGTGAATAACGCGATCATCAGTGAGGAAGGTCACCCACAGCAGATATATATAAACGCGTTAATTGAAGCTCCTTCATGAGGTTCTTCATGCATGTGATACGACGAAGTCCAAGTCCACATGCAAGGATTAGCAAGTCTGAAGTTGCAGGGTCGTGAATATCCTTAAGAGTATCCGGAACGGCAGGAGTAGATTGAATTCGAACTATTTGAATTTTACGTACTAGTAGCTGGAGCTTAGAAGTTCTGGCACGTGACAGATGGACGCGTCTTTTGGGCAGCTTCGCCATGGCAAGGGGTAAAACGGTCCCCCTTGCCATGACCAATTTTCCTGGTCATGGCTGCGCCGCGGTCACGTGGTGTGGTTTCGCTGTTCGATACACTATTACTCTTGTTCTCAACATATACAAACTCAACAGCATTGTCTTGGGCAATGATCCTTGCCGTGTATTTGAGATCAAGATTGCACCGACAGAGAGTGTCAGCACCCTCCAAAAGGTTATCAAGGACGCGAAGAAGCCACAATTTGACCGTGTTGCCGCTGACGGACTCGAGATATGGCTGGTGAGTGATCATCGATCGATACCCGAAGTCTAATGCCGACGATCTGATCATTTGGAAGGTCAAGATAAATTTGAACGACCTTGTTCAGTCTCGACATCCCACCAACCAATCATCTGTCACAGTTACTGCTCCCACAACCTTCAAAGCCCGCCTACACTACCTATGGACTGCTCGTGCATTGCCGCCAATTTTCGATGCTCATCTTGCCTCGGGTCAACTGGTATGCCTGATTCATTTTTCTCGCTGTAGCCCAGGTCTCATATTCATTTACAGCACAACGATGTTGGCGATGACTTGATTCATGATGGAGATTCAGTGGTATGCTGGGCTGCACAGTATGCCTCTATGGCACTTACTAGTGAGTTTCCGGGCGTCTCGTTTTTCTTGTAACGTCTGATCGTTTTGTGCAGCGCCGAATCGATGGGTCCTCGCGATGGTTCTTTACATTATCGGTTTCGTATCATACGGTGCGACTCTTGTTTTCTATGCCGCTCTATTCCCTCGCCTCGCACGCAATACCCCACATGCACGCCAGTTGAGAGAGAAGTACGAAAGCGGCGAGATTCCTCCTGAAGTTTACGAGCAAGAGGAATCTCTGGAAAAGAATAGGATCAGTAATATCTCTACCGTGCGCTGTAGGGGTTGTGCCTCTTGTCGTCGAAGCTAACGATCTTTTAATACAGGTTTATAGTAATGTCGGGTACATAATCACCTTATCGCTGAACTTAGCGCTTTTGTTGCCGATGACGAACAACCCCAAGGTAGACAATTATGTCCTCGTGTTGTAAGCTTCTCGTCAATCAGGTATTTGACTTGTATTGATTGACGTGTAGTGTCACCACGTACTGGGTGGTACTTGGTATCTGGTGGTGTGAGCATATTGTAGCATATCTCTAATATGCGTCCTGCTGAAAACCCTCGAGTTGTCCTCCAGGAACCCAGGCCAGGCCCTAGTTTACCTGAAGGCGAACACTACATGACGATTGGATGGAAGCAGGTAAGTATTGGACATAATATCCCTGAGAAATCCACTCACGAGGACATTAGATCTGGGCTACGCTGAAGACATACAAGCATCTTCCCTACACCTTCGCGTACCTGTTCTCCTTCTTCCTTCTCGCAGATGTACTGTTTGGTTGCCTATCTCCTGACCCACGCCTGACATTTTCTTGGACAAGGGCTGAATACTACCGGGACTCTCGCTGCCATTTGCCAGAACAACAAGTTCGGTTTCTCGTTCCCGCAAAATACCTACTTGGCTTGTCACAGGCGATTGCCTCGACTATCAGTACTCTCGTCTTCTGGTACATCCAGAGATATTGGAAGATTAGCACGAAGAAGATGGTGTGTAGCACTAGTTTTTCACGTACATATTTATCTGATTGACAACGGTACAGTTCGTGGTGACTAATGTGGTCACGATTTTGATTCCGCTGTGGGGTATGATTGGAATATGGACAGAAAAACTTGGGTCGGTGCCATTTAATCTGTTTTTTTTCCACCCATCGTCACTTTGTCTAATATGTACATCAGGTTCCATAATGTCTGGGAGTTTTGGTTCGTCAAGAATACACTTTCTTTCTATCGTGTTTTTATATTATTCTCAGGGCATAGAACATTGTGTTCGGCCTTTTCCAGGCGCCTTACTACGCATTCTCCCAGATAATGATGGCCGAGCTTAGTCTGCCCGGTTTTGACAACATGGTGTGTATCCTGGATTCGTTGCACTTCCCATCTCATTGCGTTCGGCTTACGTCAGCCAGTTCTTCGGTCTGTTTGGTCTATCCAACCGCGCTTCTTCTATGGTGGGACCTAATGTCATCCAGGTCATTATCAACAGGACGGGGAATGACTGGCAGGGATTCCCGTTCCTCTTTGCGTTGTGTACGGCTGCCTCAGTGGTGATCTGGTTTGGGGTTGATGTCACGAATGGGCGGATGCCGTGAGGCGGGCGGCTGAGCAGCGCAGGCACACGCAATAGAACGATCGATATATATGTGCTCTTCGGAGTGATTTCGGGTATTTCTGATATATCCATCATGTCTGGCAGCATGCGACATTTGACGCCCACCAAACAGCATTGGCCAAATGCACACATGTCATACAGTCACTTCGAAGGCCGTCCGATCGTCCTGACCTGAAGCACAGCCACCTGCAACTATTGTTCGGATCCAGAATAGTCAGTCAATGTACAACTCAGATATTCAAGTTAACGTTCTCGAATTGGCCTATATCGGCTTATATCTTTGCGTATCCGATTTCTATATCTCTACCTGAAAAGACAGAAAACAAAGCCTCAGTCAGGAGTGAGCATCGATGATTCTTATTCCGAGTCCTGCTAAGCCCCACAAGGAACGCGCAACCATTAAATGCAAAAGAGAGAACACACATGGCCTCAATTTGTTTGGTCTATCGAGCTCGTTCTCGACCGCCATGTCCACGTCGCCTCCATCGGAAAACTTAGCTCCTGCCTTCCACACTCATGTAAAACAGGTTGTGGACATCAAGTCAGACGACTCATCTGACCTGAACGCGAACCAAATTGCTATCTCATCCATTAGCAAGGATGAACCGCTTGTGACCAGAAGGGAGTTATGGAGCTATGACTGTGCGTTCCAACACACGTGCTTCCTCCCTGCCATTTCTTGACTACGTTAAACATGAGTGTACTCTAACGGTGGTAATGTCAGTCAATCAGGTATTCGTGTATTCCCCACTCTACTCATTCCACGTGTCATCCAACCAGGGTGTCGGTTTGGGCTATACACAGACCTTGTTCCAAGGGCTTGCCACGGTGGCAGGCTATGATCCCGTCGCAGGCCCTGGCCCATCATGTCTTGCAGATACTGCTTCTGGCCAATGCGTAGTTCCCTGGGGTAGCGGCACAAAGTCAGTTTCAAGTGTGATGCTGACTGCAGATGGTGCTAGTTTCGCTATCATGACAGCTGTGTTAACTGCGCTGAAGACTGTAGTACAGCCGGTGGAGCAAGGTCGTGCGGTATTCTGGACCCAGTTGGCACTTTCAGTATCCCATTTCAGGTGACACCGGCACGGCCATGGCAGGAGAATTCAAATGGTTGAATTTTCGCCTTTGTAACACATTTGATCACTCTACTGAAGATCAGTCTCTGCAAATCTGGCAACTGACCATGCAATAGGATGACGTCGTCAAATGAAGGTACGCAAAGACAATTATGTGTGGGACGCGAGCTAACTTGAACAAGCGTATAGTACATCCAGCTGTAGGAGCTGCAAAAGACGCCAGACACCCAAGGTATCAAGATCGTTGATGGCCAGAAGGAATCTGTACTGGGTCACAAACAGCTTGCTGACCGCACGAAAGGTCTGTGTGCATACATTCTTTGATTTTCAGCTATTCTGAACATTCTGCAGAGTTCAAGAAGATCCCAGATGACGAGAAGCTGAATTCGTTCGAAGGCTTGCTCAAAGGTCCGCATATCCTCTTCTCAGTGACTTTCTATCAATTGATAACTCCAGACAGAAATCGACAGCCTTACGAAGTGGTCAAAGGTTTCTGAGAATGTGTTCCTCAACATGTACGAGGTCCTGGCCGAAGTACCAGATCCATACCCTATACTATATATCTTGCCCGTCTACAGGCCTACAAACGTTTAAAAAGAAAGATATTACTCTCCGAAAAAAGAAAAATGCAGATAACCAAGCCGCCTTCCGCCAGAGGTAAGTCATACTTCTTGAACCCCTGCCTTATCCATGCTTAAATCTCATGTCTTTGAGGCGAGCAAACTACATAGCGACTCTAGAAGAGACAGGTTAGATTATCTCCAGTTTATTCTACCCCCATCACTCATATTTGTCATGTGTGGCAGTCACTAGTCTCGAGTCCGTCCTCCTCCAGCTTCAGGATTCATGTCGTGAAGCACGATCCGAAGCTGGGTATCTACGACAAGACAATACACGCCTTAGATATGAATTGCACAAACATGAGAAGTCCTGGAGAGCCCTTTGGCAGGTGAAGAAGATAGGACAGGCTCCTGAATCTGCCGACTTTCCCCCGCTCCCTTCGTCTTTTGCTTCTCATCCTCAACAGACCAAAATCAACAATCGTACCCCCTCATCACATGGTCATTATAGTGATGATACTCCGCAACGATTACCAGATCACTCATTTGATCCCTAGGGTTTGTATCATTCTTCTCGTCACCAGTGGACTATGTAACCACCATTATTTGTACTGCGATTCAAGATCCCAGTTACTTACTGTATTGCACGGCTTGAAGGGCCAAATGGCACATTAAATCGCTCCAGCGTGCCACGAATTTGGTGCCGATGGAAGTTTTAATGAGGGAGAGCATTTCTTCACCCGACGACGTGTCGATGGGGATAGAGATGCGATTTACGATCGCGAGAGCTTCTTTGAGGGCTTTGTTGTAAGCGGAAATGATAACAACAGGGTGGATATCGCGTTCAAGCTGCGAGAGGGATTGAGCGAGAATTTCTCCCGCTATATGACAATGAGAGAATGATATGGTTTCGAAGCTTATGAACACACCAAGGATGATGACGCTGGTCGCACCATCACCACCTTCTTCATCTTGAGTACGACTGAGTTCGATCATGTTCTTTGCTGCAGGGTGTGCAACGTCAATTTCACGGAGAATCGCGCTCTCATCATTTGTTAGCCTATACATTATACATTACTCAGATATATTGATGGCAGGAAATGTGTAGAGGCGCACAGTATGCCACCCATTGGATCGAGGATCATCTTGAGCATGGCTTTTGGGCCAAGACATGTTCGAATAACATCAGCGATAGTCTGTTTGAGAAGCAAGTATAAATGAGAGGAAAATGAAGTACATGTTGACAATGATACTTGCCTTTGCGGCAGTGATGCCTCTCTGGTGCAGTGTCTGCAAAACATCGCGTTCAGTGATGCATTTAAAAAGTGCGGGTGGTACATACTCATGACGAACACTGGTGTATGTCCTGCCTGCATGGTTGAATAATGATTGTGGATCGCCCTGGACAATGAGCGAGCAAGGGCGAGCCTAAAATGCTGCCTTTGTATGATCGCGTGGTTAAGGTGCAAATTGAGATATTGTCAATGTAATCGTTTCGTCGCGAGAACTTAGTATTGAAATTGGAGAACGGTAGTCGACGAGAAGGGACTACGAGAGAGGAAGAGAAAGGACTATGAGAGGTGAGGTTTTGAGGAACGAATTAGTAGAAGTAATTGATTCGGTTTTTGTGTGGGAAGGTCTGTTTTTGCCCGACCAGCGCAAGAGGGCGGGGGTCTGGGCGGATCACGTGATCCGAGACAAAAATCCGAAGCCGAGATGTTCGGAATCGAAGAGTTTTGAGAATGAAGAAAAAACAGACCTTCGGAGCGTGATATGTCTGAGAACGTGCGTAGACCGAAGAACACACGAACCCAGACCAAAAACCACGCTGGAGTATAAGATAGGGAGGTGGGTGGGTGGACAAAAAACGTCGAGCGACGCGCAAATGGGGATGAGCGCAGAGAAGAAGAAAGAATGGAGAATCTGTTCTCGAGCTGAGCCTTAAGAATGAGAGGAGCGAGACGTGTGCTTCGTTAAGATCGAAGCACCCGTCTTGGAGAATCTGCACATGGGCCTGCTTACAAAGGCCATGTTTCATGCGTCAACGCTCGCAGGCTCGCGATCCGCTCTGAAACGGCCATCACCCTAACCGATTACTGTGACATGACATCGTATGACGTTATGTCACCATAATTACTTCGATTCAAACTTTCAATGAAATTACTACTAGTCACCTGGAATCCGGAATTTGCATCGGCAGAAACAAGAGATGATTAATATTGCTGAATCGATAGCTGAACTCATAGATCGTCCATCAGCTATGTATACAGTCACTCTGATCTAGAATAAGCAATCTTATCTCCCTCGTACATATCTTCAACGCATGTCAGTCTACCCAATGCCTTGATCTTCGTGATCACCATGTAAAGAAGCGCCTTGAAATTTAATTTTTTTTTCAAATGAACATATAGCAGGCCTTGGCGAGTACTACGTGAGTGCTTCTCGGACAGCAAGACACTGCTAAGTTGGTTCAGATCTTAATTCCAATTCTACACCACTACGAACTGCAAAAGTCAAAAACATCATTACATCTCCTACGCCCACCATGCGCTTTGTTAGTTTTAAGATGCAGGCTGACGTACACATCTGCCAGCACGGCAGGAAGGTCCAGTACGCACTGCCAGCCAAACCAGGGGCACCGAGATCAAACATATCCCCCCTAGAAGAACAAATGTCCACCCAGCGTCAATCTTGCAAAGTAGCAAGTCGATCACGGAGACTAAAAACGCTCTCATGGAGCACCGTATAAGGTTATTCTGCGGTCTTTGTCACAATGTTGTGTATCACAGAAATCCGACGCACTCACACACGCAGTCACCGAAGAGCCTTGCGACGGCATAAGGTCGATCAAAAGAGTTTGAATGGTAGTGAGTATAGCGATTTATGAAAAACCGACTGTGTAACCAAACATTGAGCACTAAACTATGAACAAGAATCGAAAAAGGACTCACTAACGAATTGGAGGACCAGAGGAACTGCAATGGTCGTTCGCGCTTGAAAGTACAAGCCATACCCGGTGCAAGCTGCGCAGAATATAATCATCCAAAGTGACAATCTCTTCAGCCTTGTTGCTTCGATGGGAAAATCGACATCGCTTATGATATCACCTGGGATACCCTTCTCTGGCGTTAAATTACGAATCAGCCGTTCCTTCGCAGTCCTGTAATCCAAGTCCATGAGCTTGCCACTGAACATTGCACCCAGCGCAAGCCCGCCTCCGGGGGCCAGATGGCAAATCCCAATATCCGTCTCTGTCAGGTGAGGGTAGTTTTCTTCGAACAATGAAGATATAGTCGCCAGAATTGCGGTGAATACTGCGTATTGAATGCCATTGAAAGCCAGGAGGTTCAGGACATCAACATATGCGAACAGACGGAAAGGGTTATGAGATTTACGAGCAGGTGGACACTCCACCTCAGAATCCTTGTGGCAACGCCCCATTAAGGGTAATAAAGGATGATACTGGATAGGCGGAAAGACACTACCATTTCCGACGATGCTACGCAAGGTCTCCGGGAGGAACCTGACACCCAGGCTACGTCAGAGAGAATAACTCCAAATATCGCAACTTAGATGACCATGACAATAAAACACGCTGAACTGGAGATACAGAGGAACCAAAAAATGGATCTGGATAATGGACTGCATGAGCAAAACATTGTTCTATTTGTGCGGAATACTGATTCACCTCCATCCGAGCTTATCCGCAAGAGCGCCTCCTACAACGGTTCCTATTGCAGGTCCAACCTACAAAACGCAATTACTATATAGTCAAGTTATGTGGCCCTGCGCTCACTCACCTGTGGACCCATTGTGAAGATGCCGAAGAAACCACCTCGCTCCGCGAGGGTAGCAATGTCTGCAATTATACCAGCACCTGTAGCAAATTAGATGAAGCGCAAAAATAAAACATACACGGTAACGTACCGATCGTGAGCGTGCTAGCGCTACCAACCGCTTGGAGACACCGAAGAACCATCAACAACCAGGAGTATGATGTTGGTACGAACGCCAGACCGATACAAGCAAGGCTGAGAACAAACAAACATCCAAGCGACGTTGGTCGCCTGCCCATGCGATCTGCGAGAGTACCCCAGAACATGGGTGCTTTAAGTGGTAACGATGAGCCCGGGCAGACAGCATACAGCAGGCTTCACTGACACACCCTGAAACACTAGATAAACCGTCACCGTGAGGTTGGTAAGTTCGACAGTCCTGTCAAACGCAGTCGCGATCATTGAAATGGCAGGAAGGTATATGTACGCTGTCAGCGGGCTGAAAAAACTGTTCACAACAGTTTCAATGTTGAGGAACAACCATTTGCTCACCTAAACAACCCTGCTACGGATGCAAGAGTTACTATGAGCCATTTTTCGCAAGTCGTAAATATAGAGTAAGGAGGTTCGACATCTTGCTCCTTCGGGAGCACGACAGGAATACTATGGACTTCATCAGTTTGGACCGAAGACAAATGATAAACCACAACTGTTCAAATATTCAGGCTGTAACTGTCTATTGCGCATCGGTTATCGCTGACCCGAAATTAGCTTCGCAGATTCTTGGAGTGGGTGTTCGCACTCTTGATATCCGCTCATCACGCCCTTGACGCCTCGTGCGGTGTACCATTATCGGTCACTTCACTTCTGGCACTTGGTTCACTTAATGCGATCTCGCACCAGAACGGAGTGCTTGGAAGGTTTAGCAAAAGTGTTCGATACCACGATGGCTGACGTGCGAAGCCTCGCCAAGGAGATACATGCCACAGAATGACTAAAAATCATCAACTCGGACATTTGATACAACTTTCGTGATGGACTCACCGCTAGCAATTCAGATCCAATTGATCTACGGATGTCATTGCCCAAGCCTCAAGGTGTAGTTCCCTGAGGCACTTCCGCTTTAGGACATTTTTGTCCATTTCTGTTCCCTACCAATGACCTAACACGATATGATGTTGATAACTTGTCGTCACCCCAGGTCCGTCCCGGGAGCCATCTGATTACCAACAAAAGGCATCCATTCTGTACGGGCAGGAGAGTCAGAATTCAATTCCGATGTCGGCGCTAATGCATTGGGCAGGACCGCCGGACGGATTGAAACATAGAGGTCCCGATAAAAAGACTGTTAAAGTTCTTGCCAAGAAATCAATGCTTCAACGCGGTAAGAATGTATCAACTCACAGTCCAGCTTCTGGAACTGCTTCTCACTCTCTTCGCTAAACAGAAGTAGTTTGGTTAGGCCTGGTCCGCAAGCTGATTAACTTCACAAGAGATTTGAGCTACTTGTTTACCATTCTTGCGATTTCTACTTAGCAGCGGAGTTTATCATCCCACCGTCGAATGACTCAGTCGTCTTGTTTAACCCTCGGAAATGATTCTCCCTTCAGCACAGGTCCAGTATGGGTCGATTCACCATCGGTTGTATTCATATGCGAGACGACTGTCCGTCAGGACGCTAGAACCAAGCAAGCCAGTAAAATACCGTCAGTTAGGCTCACGAGAAATATTTGAGAAAATACTTGCTACAACAGTGTAATATGACATCACGGCTTTAATGCACTGGGCTCGTAGAAGTATATTGCAAGGGGCTGAGTGCTGAGGTTCAATCAAGCCTCGAAATTTGCGAAGAATATTTCCGGTTCTCTCACTAAGAGCATGATATGTCAATGATCGCCCCTTTGGTTGGTTTAACTTCGACCGGACGCGGCTGCCGGTATCTATTGATCGTTGGGTCTCCGAGGATAATGATGCTTGGACAAGTAAGCGATCGAAGCAATCGAATAGTGTTTGACGTCAAACTTACGGTTATATTGTCGCGAGTGAGCATGAAAACACGTTCGTTGGACCAAGATAGACTCGGAAGGGTGGTGGGTCCAATATGCGCGCTTGAAACAGATTTCTTCGAGGGTGAAGCTTCATTTAATACGATATACTTCGGGTTTTGTACACGACCCACTTGAGAACGACTCGGAACATCGCCCGACATCACACCCTGAAACAATATAGTTTGGGGTGAGAAGGCAGAGGCTCTAGCATGGAAGGACGAGTGCTTGGTGGTGGGCGCTTGCAACTTTCGGCGCCGTCCAGGATAAAACGGTCCTTGTCCAGTTTGCAGTGTAACAAAACACAGCCATGCGATAGACTGCAGTCGAAAGTCAGTACTAGTCAGTCCGGCATCGCACGTCGGAGTTCAGAAACACATGCCGGCTGTTCGTCAACATGCTCGCCGGTCTGCACGACTTCAAGCCAACACCCGTTTGCGCTCGAGGGGAATGGACCCCCCCTCCACCTCAAATTTTTCTAAAAGCCATCAAAGCCGCCCACCTCTTGACGCTATGTCTACCCCATTATCCATGCACCTTGCCTAATATTTGGGAGGCCCATGACCTTTGAAACGCCGTAAGTATTCTCATGGTCAGCTTTGTTTCACTTGGCTCGCAAGATGCGTTACCTTTTCTATATACATAGATGTATTGATCCTCTGAGCTTGTCACGCTGATCGAAGTGGTTTGTCACTGTCTGCAGTGTGTGAGTAGTCAATCCTCTTTTTTCGAGCTCGAGTCATGCTGATCGAAGTCGTTGCCCACTGTTGGCAGGCTGTGAGCGTGTCGATCCTCCTTCGAGCTCCAGCCATATTGATAGATGCCATTTCCCGCTGTTCGCAGGCTGTAAGTGTGTTGATCCTCATTCAAACTCGAGCCACGCTGATTGAAATCTTTACCCACTGTTCACAGGCTGCGAGTGTGTCGATCCCTGCTCAAATTCAAGTCATTCTGATCGAAGTCGTTGTCCATCCATTGACTCTACGTGAGTGTAGCAATCCTTCTTTGAGCTCGAGCTACACTGATTAAAGTCCTTCACCACTATTCGCAGGATGCGAGTATGTCAATCCTCCTTTGAGTTCGAATCATACTGATCGAACTCCTTGTCCACTGTTCGCAGATTGTGAGTGTGTTGATCCCTCTTCGAGCTCAAGCTATGCTGATCGAAGTCGTCGCTCACTGTTTGCGGCCTTTGAGTATCCCAATTCTTGAGTTCGAGCCATGCTGATTGAAGTCGTTGCCCACTCTTCACAGGATGTGAGTGCGTCGATCCTCCTTTGAACTCGAGTCATGCTGATTGAAGTCATTTCCCCCTGTTCACAGCTTGTGAGTGCGTCGATTCTCCCTCGAGTTTGAACCAGGCTAATGGAATTCGTTGCCCTCTGTTCACAGCTTGTGAGGGTATTGATCCTCAGTCTTTGGTTCCTCATCTGTTGGTAAGCGATTTAACAGTCCTGTGTTTTTACTAAGATATTAAGATTTATGACGGGTTCTCTCGCGTTCAGGAAATATGGCCATTCATGAAACATTGTCAGCGCCTTCTCAGCTTGAGCCATGCCGATTGAAGTCGTCGCCCTGCTGTTCCCAGAACGTGAGTGCGTCGATCCTCATTCGAGCTCGAACCATGCTGATCAAAGTCGTTGCCTACCATTCGCAGCCTGTGAGCGCGTAGATCATCCTTCGAACTCGAGCCATGCTGATCGAGGTCCTTACCCACTGTTCGCAGATTGTGAGGGTGTTGATCCTCTTTCGAGCTCGGGCCCTGGTGATCGACATTGCTGTGAGCGTGTCGATTCTCCTCCGAACTTGAGCCACGCTGATTGCCCATTGTTCGCAGGATGTGAGTGCGTCGGTCTGTCTTCAGGTTCGAGCCATGCCGATCTAAGTCGTTGCCCACTGTATCATCTATTCCATGGCTGCCCAACAGCCAGCGAGGGTGAGTAGTTTTATCGTCCTGTCTGATTGGACGTTGCTGATGCTTTACAACAGCGCAATTCTTCTCCGTCGAAAAGTAGCGATGTTTTCAAGCTGGTCAGCGCAACTGTCATCATTAGCGTACGCACTGATAAATCGCGAACACTTTCTTTAGGACGCTCAAGGAAGGGTGATTAAATCGCTCAGCGTCAGCAAAATCCCCACTGAATATATTTCAAGGTTCTTGATTCGTATCACTTCGGTCGCATCCCGTTGCGCAATGTGGCTGCGACTCCTGATGGTCAGCAGCTGCTGGGTGTGCGTCCACTTCTTGCAGCACCTAATGGGTTGCATCCAAGCCGCACCACTAGGGTTGAAAAATGCATAATAGGTGATCCATAGATCATCCGATTGACTTCATATAACACAGTTTTCAATATGGAGACTAAAGCGTTCGAAAGGTGAGTTACCTTCATCTTTTCAAATATTTTTTACTGACGCCCGTCGTGAACGATGTGCGCGACATTACAATATCCAAAAGGGGTGGAAACGCGCTGGTTTCCTTTGAGCGCAAGGTACTGAGAGCCATGATATCCTCTGATCACTCATTTCATTGCGCCTGTGCCGCTATCGAATAATGGACGCCACGCTTACTGTGCAGGACGTTCACATGACTCCGGTACAAGACTCAGGCCCCTCGATTTCGAGCGAATCACATCGGCTACTCGCGCCCATGTAGCGGTTGTCAGTGTTCGAAGCATCTGATCAAGGTAAATAGAATTCCTTGAAGTAACAAATATTCACAAATTTTGATTTCCGTAGTTCTACGCGTAATAGTACGATGATCTTATATTTTCACTGGGCTTAAACTTAATCCGCAGTGAAAGTCGGACATAGCCATTTCCACGGAGGGTCGACGGATTTGTGAGTTTCGAGTAGTCGGTTAGACTCATATAGATGGAAATCGAAGTTACGCAAACACATGTTGAACGACGCGTTTGATTTTGTGCACGCTGCGCAGCTCAACGTGTTCAACGTACGTTCAACAAGTCTTGAGCAACATTGATTTTATACTTTGTTGTGTTACTGAGGCTACTCGAAATCAATCCGAAGGCTCCCAAAGGTGCGTTCTTTCATTTACTATGTGGCTACTAAGCACATGAAATTGTAGTTAGCCTATGGACGCAGAACATTGGTGTTGCTGTCGGAAATATTGTCATGGACAGCGGAAGTGTCTGAAGTCCCTCAGGACATGGCAAAGACACCTGCAAGTGGCTGATGAGAATGAGAAGCCTCGAGTGCGAGCTGCAAGGCTCTCTCGGTCATTTCAAAACTTTGTTGCTACTACTACGAACAACGCACCAGCTGCAGGACCATCTCAACCTCCCGTTGCCTCCGGTTCGGGACGTACACCCTCTTCCACTACATCTTCCAGTAGCAGTGATGACGACAGGCCTTCACGCAAGCGCAGATGTGGATCAGAAGAACCGTTTGTTAATGTAAGACAAATGTACAATCTAAGTTACCTCGCTAATATTATGATGTAGGATCTCAATCTTCCGCATCCCCCAGGCAGTCCAGACAACGATCAATACATACCAGAGCCAGACTTTGATGCCTTGCCCCGAGATCTTGAAGGCCGTGATGATGACGAGCAGCATCGAGAGCCTGATGGACCGCCTGACGATCTTGACAATAATGAGATGCGTGCAGCCAATCAAGATCAGCGTGACGAGACACCACCTGCAGCACATTGGCATAATTCCATTGAAAGATCTTGACCTAGATCAGTTGGGTCGTGATGCGAAACGTTTTGAACTTCAGCGAGATATGCAATTTATTCTCGCGCTGCATAATGCTACTCTCGACGACGGTGCTGGACTTATCGGAGATGCATTGGAGCGTTTGCGAAACCCACCACAAGCACAAGCACGGCTAGATGATTCTGACATTGAACATGGAATTTCGCTTTTCCTCGCTCTCGAGCATGCGTCCGAGAGTGCTTTCAACAAGTCTCGCGCTGCCGCACTTCACCGTCACCCTGAGGACAATATCCCGAGCCTCCATCAAGTCAAAAAATTGAGATGTCACATTCAACTGAGACAATGCATTCGATTATGAAGATGCCTGCCTCTGGACTTGCACTGTGGTAGTAAATAGTAAGGGTTCTTGGGTGGCGGTATGACGGTAGGGGGAGAATGGGCGGTTGTGATGTGAGGGAGACATTGGGCTGCTAGCGGCACTCCATGAACCTCCACATTTTGATGCAGCCCCATCAACGTCACTCATGGGGTAGCCACTCACAACCGAGCACATCTTCTCCCTTAATTCCCTCTCTGCGATCTTAGCAGACTTGAATGGGGCTTGGGAGAGTCAGAGGGTGCCACGCTTGGTGCATGATGGTGTGATCGTGGAGAGAGAGGAGGCTGGCTGGTTGGGCCTGACGGACTTAGCAATGTGCTGGGAGGTAAAGGAGGGTAGTCGGTAGGGACTTGCGATCTTGATCCGGCTCGTGATCGGCGAAGGGACGAGGGAATTTTATCAGGTGCTGCGCTGCGTATTGTATGTGCCTTGCTTGGAGTATTTTGGCGCTATAGAATCTCCATCAATCACTTGTATGACCGCTGATGCTAACATACGTACGCCTCTAACCGTATTGGAGGAGCTGCGAGCGATCGAGCGATCGAGAAACGTGCTGCCTGACGGCGCCGAAAAGCGAAGATGGCGTCGTGCAGAAGACGAAGTACGCAGAGGTCAAGAAAGCAAAATCGAAATGTTAGTGATAACGTACATGAGAATTATCTGCATCGAAGAAACCTTGGGGCAGGCGGATGTGGCTGAATTGGACGTCGTGTAGCATTTTCCTAAAGTGTATGTTCAACTGTAATGAATATCTTTTCACAAGGATTAGCCTGGAACACTAACGTTAGCTACATTGTCATAATCCTAGATTAAAATGAGTAGATATCTGTACATAGGGAACGAAATCACATACCTTCCTCTGCTCTTCATTGAGACTGCCATAGTAAACACAGAACTCGTCCGCAGTTCCGTTTGTCTTGGGTTGCTTGAGCCAGCGATGGGCGCATAAATTCCTAGTCATATGAAGTAGTCAGAATCAACGTGAAATGAAGCGGGAAGGTCGTCAGGAGTGGAAGGAGGGAAGGGAAGTTTTTCATACGAGGCCGTGTATTTTCGTAAGATGAGTTGTTCGTAGGATAGGAAGAAGCACCGTTCTGGTTGGAGGCGGATTCGGAAGAGGTATGGTTAGTGCCAGAGGTTCTGTCACCTCTCCTGCGCCTGCGACCCTCTCTGAACTCAGTGCTAGGCCTGCAGCACGCAGAACAGATATTCACGAGTTGCACCAAAATAAAAAATAAAAAACAGTTCAAATTACACAGAGACTAGCTAGAACAATGATACAAATTAGAGAATGTACCGGTGGGTCAACAGAACGCATCCAATGCTGCAATATTTCGAGCCAGTGGTGCGACTGTGTGCGCTATAAGTGAGTAGAGACTTGACAAAAACGAAAAAGGAAGTCACCCGCCCTTGACTCCAATTGAAACAGCCCCCCTCACATACCAGCAAGAAGCTGGGCAAGACCACCGCAGAAGCAGGCCATACCGACGACTACATTGGGGAGAATGACTCCATGGGCGTTGACGTTGTAGAGAGACAGAATGAAGGTCGTGGACGCGAAGGAGAACAGACCGCTAATACATAAATGAGCTGAGAGTGGCGGCGGGCGCGAAAAACACGGTGAACTCACAGTGCAGCTGGGTTGGGGACCTGCTTCAAGTTGGAGAACGTCACAATTGAACTGGAAGAAAGCATGGATTTGACAGTATCAGCGGCAAGTAAAATCAATATAAAGCAGCAGGCACTTACGATCTGTGTGACCGAAGAAGGCCAGCGCCTCACGGCCTATCTGTCTATGAGAAAAATCTATAAGAAAAATAAGTGTCAAAATACAATAAATTTGAGATCGGCGGCTGGTGTCGTGGACGCCTAATGCATAATGAACGATGTTGTCGGTTTCGAACATCGCGTGAGGTTTCGAAGTCAGCCGGCAAATGCCGATCCTGTTCCTCCTTCGATCTCAAGATACGCTGATCCGAGTCGTCGCCCAGATAGTGGGCAAGAGCGTATCGATTCTCTCTCGAGCTCGAGATATGCTGACGAGTCATCGCTCACTTTTCGTAGTACGTTAGTGCGTCCACCCTCTTTCGAGCTCGAGACATGCTGATCCAAATCGTCGCTCACTGTTCACAGGATGTGAGTCCATCCACCCTCCTTCGAGCTCGAGTCATGCTGATCCGAGTCGTCGCCCACTCTTCGCAGCGTCTTACATATCATTCGATCGGTCTTTTCTTCTTCTCGCTGCCATCTGATGGGTGACTTTAAGTTGCGCTCTCACTGCGCAGAACTTGGATGTTGTCGGTCGTTGGCATAACGGTGGTCCAAAAAATCATTTTCAACTCAGGCTGTTCTGGTACACGTGCGAGGCTTTATCGGCAAAGTCGCATGGTATGTAACGCTGCGTTTTTATTTTTAAATGTTTAAAATGCGATTGGAACAGGTCTGAGACTGTACCATTCTCTGGACGAGATCAACTCGCGGAATGAAGGTCTGAACGGAGGACAGACTTTGTAAGAGGACAATTGATCGACCGCACTCTGTATCATCTATTGCATGGCGGCCTAACAGCCAGCGAGAGTGAGTAGTAGTTTTATCGTCCTGTCTGATTGAATGTTGCTGATGCCTTACAACAGCGCAATTCTTCTCCGTCGAAAAGTAGCGATGTTTTCAAACTGGTCAGCGCAACTGTCATCATTAGCATACACACTGATAAATCGTGAAGCCTTTCTTTAGGACGCTCAAGGAATCCCGCCAAGTTAATTGAAGGCCCATCCAAATTTTTACTTTCGCTCGACGTTCTAGCGCAGATCGTCGTCAACGAAGATGTATCGCGCGCCTCGACCTTCACAAGCGGAGGGCGCAGTCGTTTCGTCACTCTGATGTTGAAAGGCAGGATGAACGTTAGAATTAGAGGAGCCTTGAGGTAGAACCATGTATGTGAAGCTAATGAATATGATGATGCGCGTTTGCGGGGCCAAGGAGACCGATCAAAAGAGCGAGATGATATAGATCCGATCCCTCGTCGCGACTACAGGCTCGCAAGACCACGGTCAGGTCTATGGACAGCAAGCAGCGCACGGTCAGCGCGTCTTTTCAGACCAGAGAAGCTATTGGGGGGAGAGATAATATGGATTGCTCCGTTGCGACTACGGGCTTGCAAGACCACGGTCAGGTCTATGGAAAGCAAGCTGCGCACGGTCAGCGCGTCTTTTCAGACTAGAGAAGCTAGGGAGCGATCCTGAAGAACGGAGATTCCACTGAGCCTCTTATGTGCCCCGGGAGAATGACCAGTAAGTATTGGGCATGTACATATTTAATTCTTTAATAGCTCCGTTCAATTCCATTTTATCTTTAGGGAAACGATCGAGCGCTAGCAGGGTATCGGTGAAGTTCCCTAATGCGCAAGTCGCTTACCAACATATTGGTATACGAAGCACCACGGAGTTTCGTCAGATTCTGATCCTCAAACAAATTTCGCCTTCGCGTCGTGTCCGACATCTGCAGCAGATGTGAATTTTTAGCCATAATTCTTGCACGTTTGAGACACTCTGGAGAGAACAGGGAATGATTGGTACGCTTTCTAGGTTTGGGCGGGGAAACAACGCCTGGTTGACTAGCATCAATACGCCTCTGATTCTTCCTGCACCGAGACGCGAACAAGCTTTACCGAACGACAATAGATGCAGGAATTGGGAACGACAGATACATATTCACTACTTTCGCTGCCCTTGGGTTGCGTCGCATCAACCTGGGAATTATGTACGTGTATCGGGCCTTGATGCATGATGCTTGGACCCTACCTCGAGCACTGAGTTGTTCGGCTCCGTTGCCGACAGGCTTGTGGCAATCTATGGGAAAGCGGGGTTCGAGTTAATTCAAAAATGTGTCGACGAGTTTCCGGCGATCGGGCTGCCGTACCATGCACCAGACTTTGGAGCGTTGAGCACCCTGTTATGACTCCGGGCTAGCTCGGTTCCCTTAATTGCCTATGGCCTTGGAGTCAACAATTACTCGACCGTTACACAACATTGGGAAACCGGGTGTTTTGCTAGACTCGTGACCAGTCTGGACTACGTCTTTGAGATGTTAAGTGTTGACGTAGTCAGATTGGTCGATCTCGGAGAAATTTGGCAGGCGAAGCGAGGAGTTTGAAATTTGACAGATGCCGGTAATGCCAGAGGTACTTGCGATCATACAGTACTTACAACTTGCAAGTTACTTACGTGTCTGCTCCCGTCTGCTGCTCTCGCTCAGACTATAAGCTACGTTAAGTTTCAATCATGAGTTTCGTACGACCATTATCGCTCGCTGCTCGAGACGCGATTGAAAATCTCCCAATGGACTTTACAAGTGCCCGTTCAATGGCACAACGCCAGCAAGTTCTCGAGGCCTTCGCGCAACTCGATTTTATTTACCAAGGATCACAACGTCCGAAATTGTTCCAGCTTTTTTATGACCGCAAGGATTTTTTCGTCAATGTCGAGGTTCGAAGGATTGACAATCCAAATCAAAGGCTCAACAGGTGGCTGATATTGCGGCATGGGCAGGTGAAAGGCATGAAAAGGTATCATTTTATGGTCCTATTAGACGTTAAGTACTGTTGCTCGATGGACTATGATGTTTGAGAAGTATGAAGGAGTCGAGCTTCCACACACGTGACGTGTGTGGAAGCTCAACATGTATCTTGGAGCCTAAATTTGGAAAGAAATGTTCACGGTTAGTAACTTGCTCCGTTATCATCCGAACTCAACAGAGCCGGTCTTTGGAGCCTTAAGGATGCGACAAGAGTTCTTTTCAAATAAGCGCTCTCGATATACAGAAGGTGAGCGATCGGCCAAGAGTCTGGCACATTGACCCGCTATTTTTGTAGGCCAATATTGAGATGGCGGGAGGGGAGCCGACCAAACTCGGAGCAGCCGATCTTGCTGCCGTCCCTCTCTGATGAGGACGGCGAGGCGTATCCGTTGATCGTTGGGATGCTCAGTTCTGTGGACAGTAAGACTGACCTCAGATATCTATTCTACCTACTAAAAGTGAGGGCGTGGTCATCATTTTTTTACTCAACAACATCACTCGTTGTTCACCGCCACTGTAGTCTGACGCAACTCGTTGTCCTGCTGTCCGGGCACCGCAGAAACCGGCCAATACCCCTGCCATAACCTATGGTACAGGAGACCTCCCCCTTCAATAGATCCGCGACAACAGCCATTTTCGTTCGCCTCTTCGGTTCTCTCCTCACACGAAAAACCCCCAGTACAACATCGTGAATCGACCTCACGATCCCTTGTATGTATGTCTGTTTCTCTTATTTCGTTCACATTTGAATCGTCACCATCTAATCTGATTCGTTTGCTACGTCCATTTTCAAGCAAAGCATCCTGCGTATCTTCAATAAGGACGACCAGGACTTCTTCCCGATGGATTTGTCGTACGTGCTCGCAAGGACTTCGTCCAGAGAGGTATGTGGCTCTGTCAGAATACCGATCATCGTCTTCTCGCGTGATACTGCAGGACGCAGAGCAGTAGGGATCTCGACCAATCCTTGAACGCGCCTCGGGATCTCTGCCCGATGGACCATAACCACCGCCCCGAAGCACTGCTCAATCTAGCTGCCGCAAAGTTTGTCAGTTGCCAAGCTGACGGAAGACACCTCGACCTCGACATCCCTATCAATCTGTTTCAAGATGCCCTTGATTTGTGTCCCATTGATCACCCGGACATCACCCAGCTCCATCCTACCATTGCTCTGCAATCTCACTTCGAAACGGGGATTTCAAACGGATGCGGATGGAGTAAAGTCCTCGATGTCTGCCACGCTAACAGTCACATTTACAGAGCTGGCGCTTGTCAACCGAAGTCCTATCCCACATTTGCGTTCGCTCTTTCGCAGAGACCACTCCATCAAAAATGCTAGCTCCCATGTTGACAAATTCAAGTTGTGATGGGATTTAGCAAATGAGCCGAGTATCGCAGATGACGTAGAATTGATATAAGTGTATAATCATCATCAGTTATAGAAGATACAACGGTGGACCAATGTACATAGAGTTAACTGCAACCATGAACGCCGCTATGGCTCTGCTCATCTGTGAGTGAATCAACGTCAGATGCGTCGTTTTCCTCCGGCACGGCAGCCTGATGGCTTGTATTCCGGTAGTTTGGCAGCAACGAGCCTCTGTAGGGCACAAATCAGAAGAAGGCACCGAAAAGTAATAAAGTGTACGCTACAGCGACTTTGCGGTCTGGTGCGACTTCGACGACTTGTGGACCATGGCTGCGTCTGGGCACGAGGAACGCGAGATACTGCCGTGGGGATTGCGCGACTCCGTTCGAGGGGGAAGGCAGAGAACCTATCTCAAAATGGATACGCATTCATTCATGCATTGCGAGGTTAGTATAGAAATCTAAGACTAACATGATCGAATCGAGTTGCGGTCTGACCTGAGAGAGAGGATGGTAGGGGCAATGTAGCAGGGACCTGCGGTGCCATCATGGAGTCAACTGTCAAAGAACCGAGATACGAGAGTCCCGACCTATATCCGGGGATCATGCTGATCGTTCC